CGTGGATTCGATCTTATGACTGCTGGTCTTCTGACCAGCACAGAGGCTTCTGCGGTTTAGCCCGCAGTGCTGCCACATCCCTTTGTCCTTCCAAGGAGCCTATTCAGATCAGGGGGGAGTGAAACCAATGTGGAGGATATATCAGGGGTCTCCTACCAACTCTCCTCAGACTGAAGAAGGAACTTGGATGAGTAGTGAAATGTTTCAGCCTAACAAGAAAAAATTCCAGTTGCCATGACTCAACTTCCAAAAAAGCCAGTGAAGCGATTATGTATGTATGTATGTATGTATGTATGTATGTATGTATGTATGTATGTATGTATGTATGTATGTATGTACGTACGTACGTACGTACGTACGTACGTACGTACGTACGTACGTACGTACGTACGTACGTACGTACGTACGTACGTACGTACGTACGTACGTACGTACGTACGTACGTACGTACGTACGTACGTACGTACGTACGTACGTACGTACGTACGTACGTACGTACGTACGTACGTACGTACGTACGTACGTACGTACGTACGTACGTACGTACGTACGTACGTACGTACGTACGTACATACAGTGGTGCCCCGCATAGCGACGTTAATCCATTCCAGATTAATCATTGCTATGCAGAAACATCGCTAAACGGGCCAGAAAAAGCCATAGGAACGCATTAAACTTGGTTTAATGCATTCCTATGGCTCCCAAACTCACCGTTCAGCGAAGTTCCTCCATAGCGCCGCCATTTGCGCACCCTCGGTAAGCAAGGGCAGGGCACGAAAACACTTGCGGTGGCCATTTTGGGCACCCGGCAGCCATTTTGGAACCGCTGATCAGCTGTTGAAAAAAATATCGCAATGCGAAGATCGGTAAGCGAAACACTTACTGTTCATCGCAATGCGATTTTTGGCCATAGAAAACATCACAATGCCATTGTAAAAACTATCGCAAAATCTGCATCGCTATGCAGATTCGTCGTTAAATGGTGCACTCGTTAAGCGAGGCACCACTGTATGTATATAAGCGGAATGAAACAGGGCTGTGTCCTCACGCCGAAACCTGTTTGGGATCTTTTTTGCTGTCAAACACTCCTTTGGAACCGCAACAGAAGTTGTCTACCTCTGGATTAAATCAGATGTGAAGCTCTTTAATCTCTCTAGATTGAGAGCAAAGACCAAAATCCAACTGAAATGCATGCGGGACTTCCTCTTCGCTGATGATGCAGCCATTGTTGCCCACTCTGGTGAAGACCTCCAACAACTCATGAATCGTTTTAGCAAGGCCTGCCAAGACTTTGGATTAACAATCAGCCTGAAGAAAACACAAGTCATGGGCCAGGAAGTGGATTCACCTCCCTCTATTACCATCTCCACAGAAAAATTGGAGGCTGTTCGCGACTTTGTGTATCTTGGCTCAATGATCTCTGACACCCTCTCCCCAGATGTTGAGCTGGATAAAAGCAGCTACCATGTTCTCAAGACTCACAAAGAGAGTATGGCTTAATAAGAAGATGATGGCATATACCAAGATTCAGGTCTATAGAGCCTGTGTCCTGAGCACACTCCTATACTGCAGTGAATCCTGGACCATTTGTGCAGGACAGGAGAGGAAGCTGAACACATTTCATATGCGTTGTCTCCGACGCATTTTTGGTATCACCTGCTAGGACAAAGTTCCAAATAGAGTAGTCCTAGAACGAGCTGGAATTTTTAGCATGTATACATTATTGAAACAGCGACATCTAAATTGGTCGGGCATGTTGTGAAAATGGCTGATGGTCAGATTCCAAAAGATCTCCTGTATGGAGAATTAGTGCAGGGAAATCATCCCAGAGGGAGACCACAGCTGCGATACAAGGATATCTGCAAGCAGGATCTGAAGGCCTTAGGAATGGACCTCAACAGATGGGAAACCCTGACATCCGAGTGTTCAGCCTAGAGGCAGGCGGTGCATCATGTCCTCCCGCATTTTGAAGAGACACTTGTCCAGCAGGCCAAGGCAAAGAGGCCATCCCAAAACCAGCAAAATCAGGGAGCTGGACAGGGGACAGACTGTATTTGAGTTCAGTGTGGAAGGGATTGTCACTCTCGAATTGGCCTTCTCAGCCACACTAGACGCTGTTCCAAGTCCTTCATACAGAGCACATTACCATAGTCTCTTGAGACTAAAGGATGCCTAAATGTATGTGTGTGTGTGTGTGTGTTTATCTATTTAACTTATATGCCACCCACACTACCTAAAAGTCTCTGGGCAGCTTACAACAATTGTATGCATGCATGCATGTATGCATACTACCATTTACATTTATATAATTTCTATAATTTCTATGTCACTCTCATAAAGAGACTCAAGATATTTCATAATGATTAAAAATAAAGGTAAAATTAAAAGCACACTAAATTATAAAATTAGAAAACCATGAAACATATTATGTATGAATATTACATCATCTAACAACACTAAAAGAATGTTTAAAACAACAACAACCAAGATCTTTGGAAATGTCCAGCATTTATGTCCAGTGCAGTTTTTTAAAGGCTGTTTAAAAATAAATGTCTTTATCTGTTTCCAGAAGGACAAGAGGGAGGGCCCCTGACTTAGCCTCCCAAGGGAAAGCATTCCACAGTCTGGGAGCAGCCACAGAGGAGGCACCCTCTTCTGTTATCCAGTGCCTGCAAAGACCCTGGGAAGGAGAGAAAGGATTCTCCAAAGTTCTTAGGAACCATGAAGGCTCATACAAGGAGAGATGTTCCTGCAGAAAGCCTGGACCCAAACCATCTAGAGCTTCACAGGTCATATCCATCATTTTGAATTGGGCCTAGAAATAGATAAGTAGCCAGTGATGGGAATCTTCTTGATTGGTCCAATTTCTGCTTTTGCTACAATCTCTGAGGCTTTTAGACTTGAAGCATGCATATGAAACAGAGGGCAGGGCAGGAGAGAGAAGTGCATGAGCAGGCTTAACCAGCAGGAAGATCTAACTCTGAGCACAGGGCAGGAGAGAGAAGTGCATGAGCAGGTTTAACCAGCAGGAAGAAAGATCTAACTCTGAGCGAACCAATCTCAATGCAAATGATGTCATGAGGGGCAACGCTGGGATGGGAGAATGCAGAGGGCCCTCAAATAAGAAGCTGCCCATGGCCAAAGAAATTGGCTTTACAAGTTAAGGCCAGACAGCCGTTACTTCATAATGGGAGGCATAACAGTTCTGTGTCTCTGCCATGTGTAGATAATATGTGTGAGAGAAGCCAACGGATTTTGCACTGGATTAGGCCCAAAAGATTTCAAGCATTGGGGCAAGATAGTACCTTAAGAGCCTTAGCAGCTGCTCGGTCAATGGCAGCAACTCGGTCTAAGCCTCCCTCTTCTACCTCATGAAGGTAGGCCTGATACAGTTCTTCCAGGTGGGACGGCACGGACAGCTGAGACTCTGGCAAGAAGAGCAGAACAGAGAGGCAAGAAGAGTTAACCAAGAGCTTTCTGGAGCATGTGGTTCCATAGAAGTTTTGACAAAGCCCTCCCTGCAGCCATTAGGGGAGAATGACAGAGACTAATGAATACTGAAAAATACTAAAAATGTATTAGGAAGGTGTTTGGTGTGCACAGCATCCATCACGGGATGGCACCAGGCTGAGCCAGGGCATCAAGTTGCAAGGTGAGAGCAATGCAAAATAATGCCACAAACGTTCGATGCCGATTGCACAAAGGCAAACTGATCTAAGAGGAAAGATGGAGCGGACCCATGTGGTCCTGGTCTGTGTATTAAAAAGGCTTTAGGAAGGGAAACAGATTTCTATGTGGCATCTCGGTTTCTCTTTGGGACATATTCACACATCTGTGACCATCGGTGCAGAAGAAGGAAAACACCCATTACTCTTGCACAGAACTGATCCCTAGAGTAGGAATGTGCCACAAAGGGACAGTGCAGGGCATCCCCAAGCAGGAGCTGCCACCATACCGTTAATGATCTGCCGCTGTTCGTGGATGATGCGGTGGCAAAGACTCCGGTGGCGCTCAAAGCGGCGCACCGTTCGCTCTTGGTGCCGGATGAGGTTGTCCTTGAGCAGGGAGCCCGACTGGATGGCTGTGTTCTCCACCTCCAGCTCATGAACTTTGCACAGGAGGCTGAGCACTTCCCTTTGCTCTTCGGAGCTGATGCGCCACGGCAAGGCCTCCTCCAGCCTGTGCCCACGCTGCCGGACCTCCCAGAACCGCCTCTCCAGCTCCGCCTGCCACACAGGAAAGAGTCACACCAGGGTGAGGCAGGCAACACCGGCTGTGTTGGAGGATCCTTCCCCAATGCCAGCTGCTCCACCCCACAGGGACTGCAAATTCCCTGGGACCCGAATAATCCCAGGCGCCTTCCTCTCCCTGCTGCAGCTGATATCCCTCCATCAGTGCCCTCTGCCTTTCACACCTTCTGTTTGTGAAGTTTATCTTGTTCCCCTAGGAGGGCTGCAATGTGCTCCCTGGCCGACGTCACTTCCTGTGGCTCTGGCACGTCCGAGAGATCATCACCGGTGTCTGAGTCCTTCTCACTTTCCTCTTTGTTGCAGCTCTCTTTCCTTCGTTCTTCTTGCCACTTCCGAGTCCGACAAGCCTTCTCCTGTTCCCAGCTATGGCACAGCGCATGGCAGGGGACGAAAGAGGAAGGAGTATGTCAGGAGGCAGAGAGGGTAGGAAAACAAAACAAAAGAAAAAGGGACACCCAGCTCTGCCTATCTCCCACTCATAAGAAGACACCCTAGCTGAGACTCCCAATCCAGGCTGCCAAGCCAACCTGGCCCCTCACCCCTTTTGGCTCCCTGCTTGCTTACTCAGCGATTGTGAGTAGGTGGCGGGAGCTCTCAATCTGGATCTCCATGTAGTTGTTCTCCAATTCCATGAGGTGGCGCCGTACATCCATCTGCTCTCGGAAGGTGCTGATGAGCTGTTCCCGCAGGTGGTCCATCTCTTGTCTCTCAAAAGAGTTCCCATGGAGTTGTACTTCAGCTGTGAAACAAAGGGGTGGCAAAAAACGAAGTCCTGAACTGACACAAGAGGTCCAGTAAAAATGACAAAGACCTGCAGAACAGTCAGCAGAATAGCTACAAAACTCCTTCCACGGCCCTTCCAGGGTATCCAGCTTGACACCCCTCCACCTCTATCCATGCCTCCAAAATTCACCCCTGATCAACCTGCCAGTGCAATCCTCATTTCTCCAAAGCGTGTACTCTTTGACCTCAACCCTGACTGCCATCTTCCAGACAGGGTTGAGATCTAGAAAAAAGAGCAATCTCACCTTCTCTCACATCCCACAAAACCCACTTTCTTAATTTTGTAGCACAAAATTAGCAAATTTTTTGCTACACAGAAGGAGATAGGATGGATCCTTATCTGGCTCACAAGTTGCTTCTGTTATTTCTGATCAGACCAATGGCTAGTAGTAACAGGCTAGTTAAAGACATTTGCAGTCTGAATATCCTGCTGTGAAACTTCCTGCACTGCATAACAAAAGTTGTAAGGTGTTTTTTTTTAAAAAAAGGGAAGAGTGCTACTTATATGCCACCCCATAACAATTAAAGCACTCTCTGGACGGTTTACAATTTAATTATGCAGGCTACACATTGCCCCATCAGAGCAAGCTGAGTACTTAATTTACTGACCTTGGAATGATGGAAGGCTAAGGGAACCACAAGCCAGCTAGCTGAGATTGAACCTGGGCTGTGAGCAGAGTTTTGGCTGCAGTACTGCAGTTTAACCACTGCACCACGAGGGTCCTCTAAGTATATGCAAAGATATGTAGTCTTTGCATATCTACTTACTTCGCAATAGATATGAAAATACCTACTTCATATGTTAGGTGAGAAAATGTACAAATGATAAGACTTACATGTGATTCCTCCCACTTTGATCCCACCAATGTTGTCTTTGTCTTTACCTGCTGTGCCCTTAGCCCTGCTCGGCACTAGAATGTGTCTCAGAGATGCTTTCCAAACTGAAATTTGACTCCCAGCCTGAAAAGCAGTTCCCCACTGCTGTTTGAAGTCCCCACAGGCAGACTGCAGGAATTCTGGAGCAGGAGATGTATAAGCTGAAATCCTGTTCATGTTAAGTTCCACAGCGTATGACTGACGACATCACCAACTGGTGTCATGTTTTGGAAACGAACATTTCCTCCTCCTATCCTGATGCCCCAAGTGATCAGGAAAGTAGGAGGATCACAGGAGGGGAAAGAGAAATCTTTCCTTTCCAAAAATCGCCACTGCCGAGGTGTCTTTACCAGTGGGGATGATTTTTGGTAATTAAATATTTCATGCTCCCATTCTGTGACCCCCCCACCTATTCTTTATGATGAAAGGAATTACTCAGAACCTGTTGTGGCCTCAGGACAGGGGGAGGGTGGGAGGAGAGGAAATGTTGATTTCCAAAAAGTGCTCCAGCTGATGACATCCTCACCACAAAATTCACACAAACAGGGTTTCAGGCACTATACCTAACCTAACCTAAGAACATATATCTGCTGAAGCAGACCAAAAGCCAACCAAGCTCATCATTCGGTTCCCATTATGGCCAAACACATGCTTCTGAGAAGCCCCAAAGTAACAATACCCTCTTCAAAGTAATTTGTTTAGTTATGCGTCAGGAGTATCAAGTCTAATCTTAGTCTAACTGTAAGTCTAAGCATCATCATGTTCTAGCAAGTCAATTCTGACTTATGGCAGCCCTTTCCAGGGTTTTCTAAGTAGAGAGTACACAGAAGGTGTTTACAACTCCCTTCTTTTGAGGGATCTCTGGGACTGTCTGGTTTGCCCAAGGCTTCAGATACTGTCTTTTCCCCCAGGACGTACTGTCTGGCATTGCAGTCCCAACCTCTGGCTCCACAGCCAGATGCTTAACTCACTGAGCTTACCCAGCCAGCCACACCCTCTGATTCTAGAAGAAGACCCCATGCTGCAGTGATTAAACCTCTGCTCAGAACTAGAGTTTGATCCCAATGGATTCATATAGTCAGCTCAAGGTTGGCTCAGCCTTCCATCCTTCCAAGATTCGTAAAATGAGTATCCAGCTTGCTGGGGGACAAGTTGCTGTTCGCATAACTATATATAATGAAGTTGTAAACCACCCAGAGAGTGTTTTAGTACGATGGAGTGGCATATAAGTCAACAACAACAACAACATCATCATACACAGCCATTATGACTAGGAGCCATTCACAGCCTTATCATCAAGGAATTTGTTTGATCCTCTAAATATCCATTGCTGGGCTACACCAGCAACATCCCCTACTCTCTGCAAAGTCACCCTTCTACCTTGAATACTGCGGATATCAGGCCGCTTTGAGCGTGGTTCTTGTTGTTCAATCTTGCGCTGCAGCCGATGAATCTCGCTTCGTAGGTCAGCAATGATACTTGTGTATTGGGCAATGTGATATGAGACATTAAGAAGGTTACGCTTTACCTGCCAAGACACAGAGAAAAATTATGTGTGTGATATGAGCGTTGGTAGCATAAGGGAACGGCAGTATCCATGTTACAGTCACATAAACACACACCACACACTTAGACTAATAACTTGTCCTTCAGGTACCACCCAGGGATGTTTAAAACAATCAAAGCTGATTATAAAAACAACAGCATTCCATTAAAAAACAAACAAAATATATTGAAACAGCTCCATCAGATTAAACCAAGACAGCAGATATTAAAAGACAGCAAAAGGTGGAACCAGCTCTGCTCTCATGGGGCAAGGAATTCCCTAAGTTGGACTGAGAAGACCCTTCCTCTTTAAAAGTAGAGCGTTTTCTTTAAGAGCTTTAAAAGTAATCACTGATCTTCGAATTAGCAGCAAATTAGAAAGCAGTATGGTTCCTGCAAAGCACATTTAAGTGTAATATGATTTCAAGCTGGCTGAAGAGTTCAGTGAGTTAGGTATCTGGCTATGGAGTCGGAGGCTGGAATTTCAGTTCTCCACTGGGCCTCCTGGGAGCCAGTCTGTGTGGCTTTCGGCAAGCTGCACAGTCCCAGGGAATGGCAAACCACTTCTGAATACTCTCTAGCTAGAAAACTCTGAAAAGAATCAGCATAAGTCAGAACTGACTTGATGGCACACAATTATTTTTATTAATGTATATTCAAGGTAAGAGCACATGAACATCATCTTTATTGCATCCTGGAGTCGCTTAAGCCACTAGAGAAGGGAGACAAACTTAAGCTATTCCATCAACTTTGCATGCTGGGAAGGGTTTATGCAGGCAGTATATAGGAAAACAGGAAAGACGGGACACCAAGAAATGGTATGAAAGTGAGGCCAGAGTGATGGCAGGCAAATGAAGAAGTGAAAGCTTTGAGAAGATTCTGTGCAAAACAACAGAGGACTCGCGGCTCAGTTTAACTGGGATGGAGCAACTAGGCAGCTCACCTAATGGAAAGAATAAGAAGCCAGACTTCTAGAAAGCCGGAAGAACGGATAAAAGCAAGGTGCAGGGATCTCAGGAGCCTACCGTGGTGCGGATACTCTTGGCACGCTCAGCATAAGTTAGGGTGCTTCGAGACTCCTCAAAGGCACTGCTGGCAGGGCTGATGTGAGCAATCATCACAGTCCGGCTATTCCCCCCAAGGGAGTCCTGGGACAAGAAAGAGCAAGGACAGAAGGCTTACGACAGATTTCTTGATACCGAGTCTTAGCAGCCGTCAGGAAGGAAGAACATGCTGAGCGTGGAAGTCAGTGGAGAGACTAGGTCCAAGCTTACAGATAGGTCATGAGCAGCACTTTGATCTGTGCCTGGAAACCGACTGATTGCCTCTGGAGCTGCTGTTAACGAGCACTTGCACGCTCCTCAAAACTGCCCCAGGCAACAGTGTAGCTACAAATGTTTTAGAGTGGCAGATATTTCTGAACATCTCCGAAAGGCTGCTCCAGATGAGCATGTCTCTTTGGACATAATGCTACAAATAGTTCAAATAAGATGCAGCTAAGACCGATCTCAGCATGTCCACATGGCCCAGTATACTGTTCAGGATTTACATCTGCGGAGCTCCGACTGCAGAAGCTTCAGAAGTGATCTGACAGTCTGCATGGCCATGTGTGTCATCATGCGATAGGGCCACCCAATTAGACACACAAATGCAAGCAGCAACTTTCACAGCTGGAGCTCCACAGGTATAAATACCAAACAGATGCTGGCTACGACGTCTAGCTGTCGCTTTAGAAGTCCGACATCTAGTGCACACTGGCAAAAATCCTCCACAAGGAGTCACTTCAGCCTGGTTTCCTCTAAGGACATGGGATAGAATATACAGTCAATCCGCCAGGCGAAGCCCACCACCCTCATCCATGGCACATGACTGGCCCTCCTCCTGGGCAGACGCCCCCACAGGCATACTTACCTTCAGAAGGCGTGTGAGCTTGCTGTCCCGGTAATTGACATATTTGACGCCTGCCCTGTCACTCAGAGCATTGATGCAGTTGCCAAGAGCCAGCAGGGAGCGGTTGATGTGAGCCCCCTCCTTCATTCGCTGCCCACGGTTCTGTGTCTGTAGGAGATGGGGAGTGGTACAGAGAATGAAACAGTTGTTTGAGCAAAAGACCAAGCCTCGGTCATGCTGTGCCATTTTTCTGAGTTAATAATTCTGAGAGTGGGTTGGAATCTATTTCTCAGATGGACACCATAGCGTTTGAGTTGCCTTCAAAGGAGCATTCACTGAAGGAAAGAACAACAACGACAGAAAAGCAACTTGAATGGAAGTAAGCCTGGAGGAAGGGATTCTATTTCAGGAGGAAATACTGAGATAAGGAAGCCAGAACAGAGTAGGACCATCATGGGCTAAGGAAGAAGAAATCAGCTGATGGGGGAAGACAAGTGTGGCAGACGGATGTTAAGGATTTCCTTCCAACGTTTGGACCAAAATAACACTGACGTTGTTCCCATACCTGTATGTACAAAAGCTGAGCTCTAAGTGTAGAAAAATCTCTGTTGGGGAAATTCAGAAGGACACATCTTACTTCTGTACCATGTGTCACAGCCATGCCACAGAACTCAAGCATATTACCCACAAGGAAAGGCATGTTCATGAATGGGAAGATATTCTAGCAAATGATCAAAGGGTACTCGTCCCAATCAATACAAGTGACACTGCCACTTTCTGTTTCAAATTAGCTACAGGCCAGGGAGGATTCATTTCCTGGTCAAATATAGTTCAATCCGGTGAGGGGCATAGTGTGAGGGCATCGGACCAGGTTGGCTTTTGGGGGCATGGGTCTGAGAAAGTATGGAACAGGAGGAGGCTTCATCCAAAGTATCATTTCATAATTCATATTTGGCTGAGTTTTCTTCTTCTCCTCCTCCTCCTAGCTAGAATCCCGCCTGCCCTGAGCAAAGAGCCCTACTTCCAGTAAGCTTAGTAACTAGCCTTTCACTTTGTCTACTCCTTCTCCCCATCACTCCAACATGGAGAGTCAATCCTGATAAATATGTGCACGCTCACATCTACTTCTCTGTTTGAAAGGAAGATGGACTTAAGGACGAAGGACTCGATATAGCATTGGCCAGCGAGACGCCAATTCTGAGACGTCTAGTCGGGTCAAATACTGAAGAAGAGTGCAGTCCTCCAGGCAGGAAGCTCTCTCTTGTAGAAATCAGACAGAACAAGTGGCAGTGGAGGGGTGTCCCAAAGAAAGAACCTTTCCTCACCGAAACAAGAAGTGCTAAAATGAAAGTTACCTCTACCACACTGCTTTAGCCCATTACTGGCCTGGGGGGGGGGCTCTGGGTGTGCATGGCAACACACCTAATTCTATTTCCCCACCTCTGCCTTACTGGATAATGGTAGAATAAGGAGGAAAACACTAACAGTAAATGCCAGTCAGACTGCTGGGGAAAATAACATTTTTGGCCCTGAAGTAACCAGACTTACCTGCAGTGAATCCCTTATAGCAGATGCTGAGACAAAGGGAATGAAGTCCAACAGTGCGAAGGCTGATTTTATACTCTGGTACCAGACAGCATCCAGGCACATTCTGCATCCATGTATTATCTCATCCTGCCTTTCTCTCTAGGTACACAACTTGACCACTATACCTTTATCACCGTCCTAATAAACCCCTTCCTCCGCCAACTGACGTGAAGTCTTTCAGTATTAAATATTTCAGTATTAAAGTGCTGCCACTACAGACTCTAGTGTCTTTATTCTTTATTACTCTTTCTTTGAGAGTTGTCGGCCTTACACTTGCCCTGAGAGGTGTCTGGGTGCATTTCTTGTAAAGAAGGCTTCCCCGTTTCTCTTATACCTGAGATGCCCGTTCCGAGCCAGCCAGGTCAATCATGAAGAGTCGGCCAACGCGCACCTCCTGCATAATATTCTTGATGCGGCTCTTCTGGCGCACGGTGACCTGCAGTACAGCATGGGAGCGAGAGGAAGTCCGGTTGGCTGCTGTGGGCTCCTGGGTCCGTTGCTTATTGCCTTTCATCAGCAACTGCATTATCTGTGTGGAAGAGAAATAGTAGGAGATGCTACAGTAGCTAGGGCTGCTAGAAGCTGCCATCCAACAACAGATGAAATAGTGATTCTTAACCAGTGGGCCAGAAGTGTACTAAATTTAGAAACAGGAAACCCCCACTACCACCACCACAATTATAACTATTGTTTTCTTAGTGTGAAGCATATGATATCATGTTATGACAGTAATGCATGAATTATCTTTCCTTGATCCTTCTTTACCTCTGAGTTACACTTTGGGTTGAAGATGGTGCCACTGTGATGCCTCCTCAAAACTCCAGCCAAAAAACATGCCACTCTCCCAGCACCAATAACTTTCACCTTTTCTCCAAAATGTTGTCTTAATTTACATTTTTTGAAAATTTGTTATTAGTTCTGATATTTGAAATTTCAAATAAAATTACTGGCAGAAGCAAGGCTGAAGGAAGGGTATGAGACATTATATTTAGCAAAAGGAGGCATGAGTTTTCAAAAATCTGTGAACATTCATCTTAGAAGGCTAGTGTTACCTGTCTCTGTCCTATACTTTCATCAGGGGACGAAGAAACTAGGTCAGAGAATCTGTCCCAGTGATTTCACAACCACACCTTGGATGGTCTATGTATACCAACTGAGGGTAATCGCCATTAAAGACAACAAATTTACTTCTGGGTAAATATACAAACGATTTGGCTGTCCATTTCATTTCATCACAGCCCTAATTGCTGCCAGGAAGAAGTGGCAACTTTTCTCCTCTTAACCAAGGACATGACACAAAATCCATGAAACCAACTACACTATGAAATTCAGTCTCTGGCAATGTTTTTCTCTTCTTTCTCTACAACTAACCCCAGTGGGGAGGGACACACAAAAAAGTCATGTTTAATTTAGCCTTACCTTCAGGTTAATACCCATGTCATCTGTTAATAAGCAGTAGAACAAACAACTGGGTTGGCTGAAACTCCTCGGAGCTCTAGCAAGCAAAAACCATCAACACAGCAATGCCGAAGTAGGATCAGAGTATCAGCCACCAGTCAGGATGCTATGTGAAGATGCTAGGCCAACAACATCCTTCATCACAATGATCTATTGTGCAGTCCTAGTCACTAAGGAAGATAGGAACCTGGGCCTGGATGGACTATAAAAGTCTGGATGCAGTTCTTGGTCTGTAAAAGTCTAACACAGTTCTTGAACTCATACAGGCTAGGTCTGGATCTTTGCCGGATGAGCTGCTGTGACAGGTGCATACCTATGGCAGGCTCTTGCAGTGTATGAAATTAGCAGAGCTTGCAAAAAGTTCCTTTCTTAGACTATAACTTGCACAACATCTCCCAGACGGCTCCAGACGGCATGGTCAGTGACTTATTCAAACTCTGGAAATTTGTACCTGGGATCAAGACCTCAAAGGCGCAACAGTGAAGTTTCTGGTCCTCTCAAACTTGTACAATTAATTTACTCCTGCTTACCTCCTTAGCATTGATGGTGGAGACCTCCGTGATCCCTGCCACTTGGATTACACCCTTGGAATCTTCACGCAGGTCCAGGTAGCCCAGGGATGGGTTGAGGAGGTCCCGGATCATCTCATTGTAAATCTAGTTCAGAGAAAGAAAACAGATGCCATTGACCTAGACTGAGGTGATATTGCAAGCAGTCTCAGCTACTTTTGGCTCAGTGCTGGGGAATCACTAGCTCTTGCTGGATTCCAAGTCCTGTCAGGCACAAATTACTGTACAGGTGAAGGGAGCAGACATCCACTACGTTTGCCAGACCTGCTTTAGCTGCAACCAACAGCTTCAGAGGCCCACTTGACAGGCAACTAAGAGACAGCTTTCTCCTTCACAGCCCCCAGATTATGGACTGCACTGGGGTCCGTGACAGCTATGAGTTACAACTGCTTCCCACTCTTGCTCCATTTAGTAAGAGGATGAGGACATATCTTTTTAAACAGGTCCATAATATTATTTAATTGAGTGCGATTATTTCAACCGCTTGTAAATTTCTTTTTTGTTGCTGTATTTCATTTTATTCTGTTTTAAAGGATTGTTATGGTTGAATTGTTCTTTTTCTTTCTTTTTTCTTTTCACTATTTTATTTATTATTTTTAATTTAATTTATTATTTTTATTTATTATTTTTAACCCAACTATCTAAGCAGATCTCGGGGCCTGGAACATTCAGAAAAACCACACCAAAAGAGCTGGAATAATCTGAATACTTTAAAACAGACCCTGATAGTTGGACAGGTATATATATATTTGGGGGGGGGGAGACTGTCCTCTCAATGTCTCAGTTACATTCCATGTAGCGCTTCAGAAGACATCATGAACAGTCTGAAGTGAACAGATAGCCAGTGCTATCAATTCTTGAAAACTGAGTGTCACAAGGTTCCTGCTTTTACTGCAACATCTGTATTGTTCTCAAGGGCAGCCACATGTGCAGTGAAGTGCAGAGCAGTTGCTGAAACAGCATTATGTTTTATGCTGATTGTACACTACCTTTAACACAACCTTGTAGTGAAAATGTGGATAGAAATCATCATCAACACATTTGTTTCTCAAGCACTGGCCTGCCATTAGCTTGGTCAAGCAGATTCAAATAATGTAAAAGTCTCATCTGCTTGAAGATTAGCTAAAGAGATGGTTAGGCCATCCTCGCCATTGGACACAGAGATGCAGCAGATATGGAGTAACAGGAAATAACAGGAAACTGTTCCAAGTTCCCATTGTTTCTACCATTTCTTGAGAAAATGGGAAAGTGCTTGTGGAATCTTTTGTACCTGGTGCCAAAATGACTTGGCTCAGTTTAGGCACAATGTGTTGTGACCTGGATGGGTGGAGGAGCCCCACTTGCCGCTCTGCCTCAGGCATCCTAATCTCTTGGGAGCCAGAGTAAAGCACCTACATGGCAACCATGTCACTGTGATGGTGTATAAATTGTGCTTGACAACATTCTCTGAACTCAAACAAACATAACGTTCTTGGGACCTCCTTGAGGAAATCCCTTGCAGGAAATCCCCTTCAAACTTAACTCCCCACCTCCTCTTTCAAACACCTCCTTGAGGAAATCCCTTGCAGGAAATCCTTTTCAACCAAATGGGATGAGAAACAGTTTGTCCTTACAACCTAAATGCATCAATGTTTTAAACACTTGAGTTGCCAACATGTTGTCAAGTTGTTCCCAGTGGGGGAGAAGAAGGGGGGGAGCTACCAGATGTTCAAAGCTGAACAAGGAAGTAGTACGTCACCATGTGTATTATACCTTGTTTTCTGTGCCCTATGCAGGTGGATACAAAGTCCCTCATGACTCCCTCCCTTGTTCTTCCAGTGGCTACAACAGTGGTTAACAGCAGTATAGAGGACCCTGAATGTCAGTGATTAGAACTTTAGAAAATTAGATCGTAGCCACACCAGCAGACCCCTTCAAACTTAACCCCCACCTCCTCTTTCAAACAGCAGCAAAAACACCGCTGGAATCACAAGTGCAGTTGTGTGTGTGTGTGTGGGGAACACAACTAGACTTAAAGTTCAGCTGGCTGGATAGCTCAGTGAGTTATACATCTGGCTGTGAAGCTAGAGCTTAGGAAGTCATTTCCCCCATTTGTACCTCCTGGGAGAGTGTGTGTGTGTGTGTGGGGAACACAACTAGACTTAAAGTTCAGCTGGCTGGATAGCTCAGTGAGTTGGACATCTGGCTGTGAAGCTAGAGCTTAGGAGTTCAATTCCCCCACTGTACCTCCTGGGAGAAAGAGCCAGCCTGTGTGGCCTTGGGGGCAAGCTGCACTGTTCCAGGATGCCCCCAGAAGAAGGGAATGATAAACCACTTCTGAGTACTCTTTACTTAGAAAACTCTGAAAAGGGCTGCCGTAAGTCAGAATTGACTTGATAGAACATGGTGATGGTTAGGCTTAAAGAAAGACTAAGATTGGACTTAGTACTCCTGACCCTAACTAAACAAGCTACTTTGAAGGCCATGGCTCTTTATGACTACCTCCTTTCATAGGTATGGTAAAAGTCCCAGATTTCTAGCACCAGTGATTAGAGTGACAATCACATCTGTTCAATACCTATCACAGTTTAGCAAGCATGTCTGTTTTTACTACCCAGTTTTCTCTACAACAGGCTTCGCCCACTGGGTGCCGTCCAAGTGTTTCGGACTTGAATTTCCATAATTCCTGAGCACTAGCCATGCTATCTGGAGCTGATGGGAGACAGCCAAAAAGTGCTGCAAGAGGAAGTAACAAGAAACTGTGACTGAAAGAGAAACAGTAGCCTCGGTCACATCAGTGTTTGTCCTTTGGCATCAATCGTGACTTTCAGCCAGTCTGCATTGACCTCCAGCTATGCCAACCTACATTAGGCAGTAGTGAAGACATCTCTGCCATATGCTGAATTCTGATGGCATCATCTTGGGGGATGCTGTTTTAAATTCTTGAACAGATGGCTTTGGGGCTGTGTAGCAAGAGCTGATCTAATCTGGATCCAAGGTACAGGCAACTACATGCCCGAGATCAGTGTAACGTATTTGTGCCAGTTCATGTGTAAACCATCTGTATGAGAGAGCTGATTTGAAGAAGACCACAGGTAGTTGGTTTCAGCACAGAGTGCATGCCAAGCAGATGACGGGGTGATTCCCAACCATAATCTTGAATGATGGAGCAGAATAGGATGGTATTTCCATTGGTGTGCTTTTGCCTAATAGTATTCTCATTACTCCTGTCCGCTCTGTTTTGTTTTCACTTATTTGTTTGTTCCAAGCTCTGAACATATGTCAATATTATACTAGGGTGAGTCAGATGGGTTACCAAGGCAATTATCTGTGCACGTTCTGGTGCGTATGGCAGGAATAAAAGCTGAAAGAATGAAGACGGTGAGAAGCAAATGAGGGAACACAGAGAAAGGAGAGGAAACGATGGATAGTAGAATCTGCATTGCCGTGCAGTCTTTTCCTATTCAAATGTTTAAATCAAAGGAGGTGGGAAATACGTATACACCTATGTGCAAACAGATGTGAATTAGAGATAAGCCTGTCTCACACACAGAGTTGTGCATATCAGACTCTCCCCTTCTTCTCCGCCAATGGGAATGCACATTACATACATGTATTTTAACCTTTTCTGCAGTTGTTTTCCCTCACACGCTTTAGGAACTTAAAGGAAAGCATGAAAAGAGGGTCTGACTGTGGGAGCAACTCAAACACAGTTCTGTGTTATCAACATACAAAAAACCAAGCAATGTATCAATGAGTTATCCCTCACCATCTCTAGACCTCAAGGTCAGGTTAGCCCTGCCTCTTTATAACCCCAACCCTATGCTGTTCCAAAGATAACTCACCTCCAGATAGGACATAGATACCTCATATTCCATGTCATTGCTAGTCTCCTCGATTGCACGGAAAAGGTCATTGAGTGTCCGCACATAAATGCCAGGTTCATTGTCTGTACCAAGCATGGTGTAGGTCTTTCCACAGCCTGAAGTTGGAAGGAGAATTGGAAAAGAATAGCTGATCAATAAGTAACTTATTTCTGTCTTGAGACTAACCAAAGCTGGAAGTCCATTTTACCAAATTTACTTTTCTAAAGGACTTCTTTGCAATTCTTTGCTTTGCAACAGAGCAAACACACACATCCCTTAAATAAGAGGAAATAAATAGCTTTTTTTGGCATCCCGTTCATTTGCTTTTGCAATCCAAAAAGAAGAAGAAATTGTTAAGACTGAAAAAGGTTAAAATGTCTTTCCTGAGAAAGGCTGATCTCCTGTGAGGTTATTTCAGAACAGTTGGGAAAAATGACTCCACCAAACCACAGCATCCAGAATCCCACCGTGGTCCCAATGGGGTGCGTAATTCTGGGAGTTGTGGTCCAAGAAAGAAACCATTGCAAATTCTGGACATGTTGAATGGCATGTACAGGAGTAAAGCAAAGGGCAATTCATTTCTGAACAGTAAAAAGGAATGTATGAAAAACTGGAATGAGTCTGAAATAGACCAAATGCAGGTGGCCACCCACCTTCACAGGTTTGCCCTATTGCCCCAAGTACTAAAGCATCCTATGCTTACAGTATTCAGAGCACAGTTGTCCTAAGATCACATAGGGAAGAAAAGATATAAGTCATTCAAAGCTGAGGTTGTTTCCTTACCAGTAGGGCCATATGCAAAAACAGTAGCATTGTACCCAGAGATGATACCTTCAATGAGGCCTTTGGTGGTGGCACGATACACAATCTCCTGCAGGGGGAGATGAACATGTGAGGGTATAAAAAACAAATACACTAAATATGGTGAAGAAGATAGCAATCGATCCAGCCTTCTCCTCCAACACCCTATGCTCCTCCTTTGAGCTCCAGAACTACTCTTGGACCAAACTCAACAGGATAGAGGTTCTCAAAGACTGCCAAAGCAAGCTCTCCTAAGACTGGAGGGAACTGACCATTCCTCAAAAAAGAACGTTTAGCCCTGAATTTGAACTGGTTTTTACGCTACATCATCCACTGATGAATTCTGATATTGCTGAGATGCACATAGAACAATAATTTGGGCCAGGCAGAGTTGGTTAGTTATGTAGTGTTAAAACTGTTACGAAGACAAAGAGACCAGCCAATCAATATCCATATGTACACACAAAACTATTCTTATCAGATGAAACTGAGGGCAGAGTAAGCTGATATTCTGCCCCCAGGATCAAGCAAGGAACATCAGATCTGCATCTCTCTGCATGTAGACATTTTTAATTCCCCTGGCAACCGCTCATATCTCCTTAGAAAGATCACTTCACAGTCTGAGAAAACAGGGCATTTCAGGTGCAGGTACTGTAAGTCCACACACTGTAGGGCCAAGAAGGCTCATAACAGCCACTGCCACTTTAAAAAGGTCCCTCCTCCTTGCTGCCCACCTCCAACCCCTTCCCTTTTTCAGGGCCAAAAAGTCATCTTGTATGCCTGCAAATACGGTACATCATCCACTGATGAATTCTGATATTGCTGAGATGCACTCAGAACAATCAGATCACACAGAACAATCATTTGGGCCAGGCAGAGTTGGTTAGTTATGTAGTGTTAAAACTGTTACGAAGACAAAGAGACCAGCCAATCAATATCCATATGTACACACAAAACTATTCTTATCAGATGAAACTGAGGGCAGAGTAAGCTGATATTCTGCCCCCAGGATCAAGCAAGGAACATCAGATCTGCATCTCTCTGCATGTAGACATTTTTAATTCCCCTGGCAACTGCTTATATCTCCTTAGAAAGTTCACTTCACAGTCTGAGAAAACAAGGCATTTTAGGTGCAGGTACTGTAAGTCCACACATTGTAGGGCCAAGAAGGCTCATAACACCTCAGTGCACCTTCTCCCACCTTATGGCATGAGCAACGATGATTAATTGTTGCAAGGCAAGGCCCATCTCCCTCTGAACAACAGTCATGCACCTTCAGCCACTGCCACTTTAAAAAGGTCCCTTCTCCTTGCTGCCCACCTTCAGCCCCTTCCTGATTCTCACAATTCTCACGCCAGGAGCAACAGCTAGCAACGGGGTGACAATTTCACTCAAGGAGCTCCAGTTTCATCTAAATGGGCAAATTAGCTGGAAATGGGAGCCGATGAAACTGGAGCATGGTTTTGGCCCTGCTGGCCCACCTGCCACCTGGCATTTAGTCTGAGACAAGCAGGATAGAAGGGAGACTACAGAAGTGCCTCTGAGGCAAACTAAAAGGTAGACAGCAAACACATGCTCCAGATTGTCTCCTTTAAAAAGAAAAGAAAAGAAAGAAAAGCCCCTATGGGAGTTTAAAGTGGCAAGAAGAAAAACTGTTTAACCCCTTCCCTTCCACCAGTTCTCCCGCTCATTTTCTTCAGCTTCTTTTCTACAGGTGGGAGGAACAACGAGAATGCCTCATTGGAGAAGGTAGAACAGCAGTGTTTTTTGTGAACAAAATACCGCGCCCCCCATCCTTAGATTCCATTATCCCTATAACTCTACCCAATTGCTGGGTTGTTCTCATCAAATTCTTAACCTCCAACAGGAGTGCTTCACTTTTAGAAAGAGTCAGAGGACCACCACAGTCCCTCTGCCCTGTCACATCTACCCTGGCTATCTGGCCTAAGGTCCACGGGTGTGGACGCCTGTCCCTTACCTGGGTAGCAGCAAAATCAAAGGCTACATCAAACATATAGGATTTCTCTCGTGAGCGGTTGGCACGGAGCACATCATCGGGATCTTCCAATGGATCCATCAGTACAACGATCTGAAATGAACAGCATTGGGATTTTCTAATTGTTGTTGCTGTACGTATGAGAACATGGGTTGTTAGGAAGCAGCCCGGGAAAGGGACACAAGGTGTCCTTCAGCTGATGCTTTTGGTCCAAAGAGGAAGTCTCGCAGCAGCATTCAGAAGCCTACTCTCAGATCCTACATTTCTGATCTTACGCATACGTTCTGTGCCCCCTTTCCATCATGATCTTAGCATTTAGGCAAGGATATGAATGTGTAAGAAGAAAACTGGATGTGATACAGCATAAAGATCATTGCTCATAGCTCGTGAAGTGTCTATTACTCTAATCTCTAGTCAACCAGGATTTGCATTTTTCTACAGTACTTCAAAATTGTGCAAAAGGGTTGGAAGTGGGACGAAAAGATACAAGGCAACAATGTTCAGAATCCTTTTACTTAAAATAGGGAATTGCACTGGAGTAGGCTCACTGAATCAGCCTACTCTAACTGTAACTTAGTATGCTAAAGTAAGTTGCACTCAGAGTATGCCTATTTGAATTATTTTCCAATTACTGTGTTATTTTATTACTTATCTTGCTCCTCTGCCACTCGCACACAAAGTGCATAGTGAGTGGCCATTTATTAGGTTTTTACAACCCAAATACCAGCTGGCTATTTGGAAGGTGTAAGCAGTGAGTGTTGGTATGCATGTTTATAGCTGGAGGCTTTACTCC